ACCTTCACCGGACCATAGTTGTTGATCAGCTATCCCGACGCCGTCTTGAACGTCCTCTTTCCTTCTGCGCGGCTGCCCTGCAAGTACTTCTTCGGAATGGCCGTCACCGAAGCCCCAGTGTCGAAGTTGCACTTCAGCATGTTGATCACGCCCTGTCCATGCTCTCGCTTGTGGTCAGCGTGCGGAGGTCCAGGCCATTGGCTTCTTTTTCTGGCTCATCTCCGGGCTGCTCCAAACATGCTGCTCCTTTTCAACCCTTTGGACTTGTAGGCGCCGAGGATGATGTAGCTCCTCCACCTTTGGCCCAGCAGTCCTTCTTCATGTGGCAATTCTTCCCACGATTGTTGCAAACACCATCAAACTTGCCCTTGCCGGTGCCCAAGCTGTCTTCGCACCTCCTCCTTTATTCTGCTGCGGCTTGGACCAGCAATCCTTCTTCTTGTGGCCCTTCTTCCCGCAACTTGGCGAAGGAGATCGTCAGCTTGCTACCCGTCTTTGCCTCCATGTAGTTCACCACCTCCAGCTCCATTTCCTCAAAGGTCCTGAACCGCGAGTAGTTCAGCATGAGGTGCTGCTCCATCTCCTTCGGGACCAATTTCTCTAACGCATACATTGCGAGACTGTCTGAAAACGTCTCGCGCTTCCCGAATTGATCTTTCTTGCTATAGCGGCTTCGCAGACTCTTGAAGCGTTCCAGGGCGCTGCCGAGGTTCTCGTACGAGCTCCTCTCTGGGCTTGTGAGAGCTTGGAGCATGATCCTCTTTCGGCCTCCCGTGGCCGGGTCAAACTTCCGGTGAAGCGCCCTCCAACCCTCCAACCCAGCGCTTCTCGGCGCATTCTCCAGCCATCGTCCTCTTCAAGGAAGTAGCCAACCACCCTCGTAGGCGAAGGCGCCGACCAGCAAGACCAGGATCGACCTCCACGAGTTCCACCGCCTAATCGGCTTACCTTGCTCTGGCCACTCCTCCAGCCTCTGGACTTTCCTCCGCGCCACCTCTCTGTGGCCCAGTTCCCCGCTCTCGGGGCTGACCGATCCTCGTCCTGTAGGACTTGTCCTTGCGCGCGGACTTGTCCCTGATCGTGCCCAAGAGCTCCGCTACCATGAAGTCATGGCTTGGGCTCCTATTTCACTCGATCCACTTGATGATCTGCGCAAGTATCTACATGTCTGCAGATTGGCTTTGGCAAGCTTGGCGTGCTCCACTTCTTGGTCCTTGGTGGCGCTGGTTCTCCTAGGCTTGAGACGACCTCTTCGGGCCTCACACGCTTTTCCCTCGGACGTCCCATCCAAAAAGCAAACACCTCAACTCCCCGCTCCGCGTTGCCATCGAACGAGTCCAAGTCTCTTCATTGTTTCCATCGATTTTGTTGCTTTCCAGTGGTTGCGCCCCCCCCCTCCAAAAAAAAGAAGAAGAAAAAACAAAGAAAGAAACACAAAACAAGCCGCCCGACCATCAACAGCCCTGAGCCCAGCGGTTGCTCCCTTCTCCACTTCCCGTCCGAGCGGCGATGGCCGAAGCCTCGTCGTCCGCGTCCAGCACGGCCAAGGCCAAAGCGCCGCCGAGGCTTTGGTCCGTGAGGATGTCTTGGAGGGTGGCCTGAGGCTTGCGTTCGGCTCGAACCAACCAATAAACCCCCACATTTGATTCCTGGGGTGTCAAGTCATTTTTTGGGTAATTCATACAAACACAAACGTGCACATCAACTTGTTGGGATAAGTCAACAAGTAGTTTCCTGGCTTGGCTTCGATATGGCCGGCCTAGAATGGGCGTCTCTCAACACATGTTCCACATGAGCCTGTTGGGCTCGCTGGACTTTGCCGGGTAAGAGGTTCAAATCACCAATAAGCGTTTCAAATGAGGGTACCCTCTGCCAGGCCAACATGGAAGCTCGCAACCAAAGGGGGTCGGCTTCCATGTGAGGGGAAAGTAATCCTGGGGCTTTTCCCAGTTCGCGCCGCAAGCCCTGGCTTCTGAACCTGTGAACCCATTGATTGTTTAATCATGTTCTCAAAGGATTGACCCTTGGATTTTGCGAAAGACAGCAAATTTTAGAAACGGAGAAAACGAACCTAACTACTTGCGGCTTCCGGCGAAAGGCGGAAAATCAGAGGCCCTTGAAAAGATTTCTGTTAAAACCTGATGTTTTGCCTACAATTAGAAGCAACTGGTACATGTAGAAACAGAAATGGTCAAGGAGGGTTCCCTCTATGCTTCCCCCACATGCTTTATTCGGTAAGGCGATTCTTGGGACTTGCCGGGGGGGGGGGGGGTGGTATATTCTCTTTGGCTTTTCTGAGCGCCCGACGCTGGTCTCTGCCTCAGATGTTGGCCTCAGCGAGTGATAGGATTGCAAAAACACCGAGCACGAGGGGGGGGGGGTAGATCTGCATGGAATTCGACAAGACAAACAGCGGGCGAGGGGTGCAGAGGCCGCTGGGAGCAAGACGGGACCCGTGATGCGGTGCCTGCTAACGCCCAACAATGACGGGACGACTAGCAGAACAGTCGGAACTATTTTGAAGCTTCGGCATTTTCTCACAGATTGATGGCACAGCCGTCTTGCGTCGAGTTATTCAACCAGCCAATTTCAACCTCCCTGTTAGAGACATAGACGATCACCAATTCAACATATGTTCCGTCAAAGCCAGACATGCAAAAGGATAGAAGCCATATATTTTTGCCAACAGTTGAAACGTCTCAACAATCGAACCTTCTCAACATCCCAATTCTCCAACAAATCTGCGGGAGATCCCTTTTCCTTGGCAACGCCACCCCATCTTGACGCCTTCAGCACCACAAGTCCAACGGTCATGGCTTAACTTGGCTTTTGAAGCACCCCACTCCACTCCAAGCGATGGCCGGTCAGCCGAGGTCTGGGCCAGGTCTTGGGAAGGCCCCAGGCCCACTCCGCGAGGCGCCGGGCCGTGCGCGAGGGCGCGAAGGCGTCCCGGTGCGGCAGACCTGCGAGGGATGCGCCTGGGGGCGCTGTGCAGTTGGACAAAGAGCGCCCGCTTTTCTAGACGTCTTGACAACGGCGGAGGGGGGGATTGGGGAAACGCTGTTGTCTATGCCCACTTTCAACAACTTTCATGGCCAGGTAACCTCAAAATCATCTGGCGGCAAATGCCATCAGAACAGAAAGACAGAAACCACCCTAACTTGTCCCTTTTGGGTGCACGAACACGCCGTTTTGCGCAAGGGACTACTTTTTCTCAAGCTGTTTCACCACAATTGTACGGGGTTTCAGAGCAACCACAGTCTATCGGGAAACTCATGCTTCTGGCAATTTCCTTCCGCGCGCCTTGTCCCAGCGCGCGCCAGTTGGCCTGGCGATGGGTACCCTTCCAATGCGGATGGGCTTTGGAGAGGCTCCGATTCTTCAAAGAGGGCGCCGGTCTTTCCCCATGATCGAGCATTGACCTCTTGAGACACTTCTACCGGGATCAACTCTGCAAGGAGTGGATCAGGTGTAGCTTATTTCTTTTTGCTGCCCCTGTTTTTCCCCCGAAGGGGGGGGGAAGTCGCGGCGCTTGCAGCGGTCTTATGCCAATTTTGATGCAGCACTGCTCACACACCGTTTCTGGCCAATCCAAACTCCGTCTGCGTGGGAGGTACTATCTCCGGCAGCTCTGTACACAAGTCAGCAGAACGGCTCATGCAGGCACTCGAATCCCCACCAACCCAAAAAAAGAAAACCCTGACCCGTCGCCACATGGGTTTGGTTTGCGCTGCGCTGGGCATTGGCTCTGGTCCTGTGCGGGATGTCAAAGCTCCAAGCTGCAGCCCCCGTCCCTTGGCCAAATTGACTCACTTGCGAAAGGACGTTTAAGGCAATCACCCATTGGACCCTGAAACGGATGCCCAGTGCAAAAGAACCACCCTGACCTATGTTGCGATCAAATCTGTTGCCACGACTGGAGGTAGACCAACATTTTGCAAGCTGAGGTGAAAACGAGCTCTCTGGCAAGCCATCGCCGTAGTCCACGTCAGGCTCCGTTCCGCGAGGGGTTGGGGAGAGGAACGCGCAGGAATTCAATGTGCTGGCAACAGAATGCGGCAACAAGCTCTTTGGTCTGACTGGGCGGGTGCGATCCAAACAAACAGCTGTCTGTCAGCTATGAGCCACAGACATGGTTGTCAAACAAATCGGGAGTGGCTTGAGGGCTGGCTTCGCTCATCTCCAAGGACTCCTCCAGCAGCTGTTGGACAGATCCCCTGCTTCTAGGCACACTTTTCCCAAAGCATGCAGAGTTGCGGCAATCTCCGGGTTGCTGTCGCAGTAAATGGCGCGGTTCATCTCCAATGACTCCTGCAGGAGGCTTTCGGCCCTGGGCAGGTCACCTTTGCTTGGCACACAGCTCCCACAGCACGCAGTGCTATGGCAATCTCTGGGTTGCTGTCGCCGTGAAGGGCGCGGAACATCTGCAAAGACTCCTGCAGGAGGTTTTCGGCCCAGGATGGGTCACCTGCTGCTTGGCACACGTGTCCCAAAGCATGCAGAGTTGTGGCACTCTCTGCCCATGCGACCGCCTGAAGACTTCACGGATATGGTGGCGAACCTGGCCGACAGCCCGGCCCGACTGAAGCTCCGGCTGGGCGCTTGCACCAACTGCACGGCCGCTTGCTGCCAAGAAAGCCAGCTCTGCATCGCCCAGCCCAGTCTGAGCCAGCACCACATCTATGGCGCCTGCAAACAGCGCCGTCTCAGCAAAAAGCGACAGGTCCCTAATTACTGTTTTTGGTGCCGCATCTCTAGCCTTGTCGCAACAATCAGAAAAATGGGAAACATGGGAAATCTAAAATTTAACGCCGGAGGCACCTGCCATGGCGAGACTGGGCCGCGAGTGAAGCATCGGAGGGCGGCTGGCTGCCAGCGCAGTGTCGACGCTGGCCATGGCTGAAGCCGTGAGAGCCGACTATCTTGGCAGTCTGCCAAGAAGGACTTGCACTGAGATTGACAAGGAAACACGGGACATGGCCCATGCCATCTTCCCGAGAAGGGGTCACAAATGAAGGTCCCTTGCGAGGTGGGAAAACCGCTTATAGTTTCTTCCAGTCATGTTCCCAATGTGGGCAGCCCAAGTCCTAATATCGGTGGTTTCCCCTTCCCCTCTGGACAACAACACCTGGGGGAACTTCAGAGAATCCAGTCATTCGATATTCCTCTTCTCCTCCAAGCACACTCAACCACAACCATCTTGTTGTTTTGATGTTTGAGCGACGTCCTCTTCATCCCCACTCCTAACTGAGAAAGCGGCCTCCCCCCATCCACAAATGATTTTCCTTGAATACATGAGCTCGGGGGTGGGCAACCATCTTGAAGACTTCTAGTTCATGAACATGATCAAGGTCCCCCCCCCCCCGCTTCGTCCGATTCCACATCAGTTACTTTTGATACTTCTTCAAAACGGGGGAACCATTTTGATAGCTACCCATGTTGAAACCAGTCACCCACTTTGATAGTTTTGCCACGGGGGTCACTTTCCCCGCGTGCCCGGGGCTCCCGGCTCGCGCCGATGGGTCGCGCGCGCTTTGCCAGCAGTGGGCGGAGGCCCAGCCCTTGAGCTGCGCGCGCGCTTCGGAGCCTCGGTGCAGAAGGGCTGAGGCTTTGTGCAAGTGCATATATATATATATAAACACAAAATATGTGTACATCTATATGCATTTGAATATTATGTGCTACATGTGAAGATGGCCAACTTTGATTGTAGATGTTCCTGCTTCTTTGACGTATTTGTCAGCTTGCTCAATGTTTACTCGGGTTTCGGCCGATTGATCTATGATCTTGATGCACCCCGCGCCCCCGTTTCAGCTCCAACTATTAGGACCTTTCTGGGGGTTGTCAGTAGCAGGCCCCTTTTTTCAAGGCAGCAAAGCCTGGGGCCGAAACGGTCCACTGCAGCCATACAGTATGGGCCCAAATAGTCTCAGTAACAACTATTTCCCGACTCCGAGAACAAATCCTGGTGCGAAAGCACAAAATTCAGAAGAGTCAACTCGCCGTATTGGGGGTGCCCCGCAATCCTTTGCTTTCAGAAGCCCAAAGCAACAGAACCCAAAACTGGCTAGATCTTTCCTTAAAACCTGTGCTCGCGGAGCCGTTTTGGGCTTTTCAAAAAGGAAAGGCGGCGGCAAACCCCTGACCCCGAATGGAAACAGAAGACAAAGACAAGGCTGAACCATATAAAATCCTTATTTAAAGATTGTGAGCTATTCTATATAAGTGTACTATGTGCAACACCTCAAACTACTCCTTGCCGCGCAAAAACAACAGCACCAATCAGGGCCCCCCCAATAATAGACATGGTTCGAGTCAAACACTATTTTGATCGGAGGACACGTTTTCTGTTGGGGAAAGCATTGTTTCGAACCGGGTTGAAGCATCCTTCGAAAGCAACTTCAGGTCATCATACGCAAAGCAAAATCAGGTGTAACTCTTCAGCTCCCTATATTTCTAGGGTTCGAGCCTTTTTTTCCATCAGCTGGCCTGGGAACTCCAGTCTTCACCCCTCTCCTTTGCCCCTTGCGCCCGGCTGCGCAGCAGCAGGCGGCAGTTGATGGGCTCCGGCTCCGCCTCCGGCGCCGCGTCTTTCGGCTTCGGCGTTCGGCCCCGCTGGGCCCCGTCCTTGTCGCGGCTCTGGGTCGGGCGGTGGGCCGCTCCGACGCAGTGGTGGAGCCTGGTTTTGAGGAATCCTGAGTTTGGGGGCTCCCATTTTTTGGGTTTCATTTAGATTTGCCCAAAGGTTTGTGAGGTTTCCTCCTCAAAGGTCACTGTGAAGGGACATCCTAAAGCTCACCCCTGTTATCAGCCTGTTATCCAATTTATCTGGCTAACAAATCATGGTTCAGCCAAACGGCGAATGACATGGACCACCGAGCTTTCAGTATCTCAACATGGCATGAGTTGCGATGGCAGGTACACATTCTGAAGCTGGCATGCAGTCACTGAGGTACAAGTAGCGCCGTCACACAGGCACAAATAAGGGCCAAAGCGGGCCACCAGCAAGCTTTAGGTATCTCAAGATGGCCCGCGGTCACTCGGGTACAAATTCTCAAGCTTCGAGCATGTTTTAAGATAGCCGGCGGTAACTCGGGGGCAATTGCTGGTCAAACGAGAACCAAGACTTTAAAATTATGGAATCCGTCACGGACAAAGAGGCCACGGAGGGGGTGGGGAGCCACAAACTTAATTGTTGACCAGCTGCGGAATGGGAAGGAATCCGCGTGTTTGATTGCGCCCTTGAAGAACGGAGGATGTTCCACATGTTTCCTGAACAAAAGATCAAAATACAGTAAATATCATTTACACATCCAACAAAACAATCAGGTCAAACATCCTAGCCGGCCTTAGCCACTCCATGAAGAGATGATCACCGTGGATTTCTCGCTCGCTCGCGCGCCTCCACGTCGAGGATCCACAGTCGAAGGGCTGCCGCCACCGGCTCCGGCGCCTCGCGAGTGCGACAGGGGAAGTGACGCTGGCAGGAAAAATGCCCGAGGGAGAAATCAACTACATGTCTTAAAGCCAGGGTCGAAAAATTGGGTTCGGTCTTCCTTTTGGTTCCCTTTAGAAGGCCACCAAAAGGGCGCCCTCAAAACCAGACAGCCACATGTAGAAACCACACAGGAAATTTGATCCACCGCTCAGGCCAGGCCAAAAGTGATGCCTGTAAATTGGGCCACCATGCCTGAGCCGGGAGCCACAGGGAAAACACATTCTTCCTCCTGCATACACCTATGTACTTGTTTTCCATCTGCGAAATGATCATGCGTAAGCGCACACACAAGTACATCTATGCATATATGCATATTTCTATCCCCCCTCCTCCCAGTTTCCCAGGGACCTGCGCCCTGGCAAGAAAACACCGCAAAAAGCAGCATGCCTAAACACAAACTCTTCGCTGCTCAGAAAACTTCGGTCTTTCTTCCCTTGAGTTCTTAGATGGGATTGCACAGACAGCTTGGCCAGAGATTCAGTGACGTGCGTGTTCGGGTCTTCGGCGATTTTGCCATCACATGCCACGATTGTGATTGTGGTGCTCCGAGCTCCCGTTGGTTTGTTGCGATTGGCCAGTCACATGCTCTTTACCACTGTCAGGAGCACACAGCCTTGGCTGCTCTGCTCCACCAGGATTTGGCGAAAAGACAATCGTATCCACTGGTTAGGTTTGCACCGCTTTCTATACTTGAAACTGAACTATCCTACAATCCGATGCAACTCCAAGATCGATAAACGGTCAGCAAGCACATGTAACTCCATGAGCGCATCTCGAGTCATGAAGCATTCAAAATTAGCGTCCTAGCTCACACTTGTTGCAGCAATCACGTTTTACCTCCATTCAGTTCTTGGAAGGCTATGGCGCGACAATTGTGCGCCATGTCGCCACTGGCAACTTTGTGCTACACAGCGAAGGTGCCCAAAATAGACAGCAAGTGGCATTGACCAGCCTGCCGGGCCAGGTCAAGTGGTGTATGTCCTAGCCCATTTGAAATTTCCGAGTCAGCATTGTTCTCCAGCAGAGTTTGAACTTGCACCCTGTTGCCCATCATAGCAGCAATGGCCAATGGCGTAGCTCCTGTCAGGTTGGCTATCTTTCGTTGGTAGCTGGTACTGTACGACCCCCAAATTGCAATGGAGACCCGGCACCGCCAGCATTCCTCCTTCATCCTTGACTTCGGTGCCGTCGGAAGGTTTACATCAGCTCGAAACGATAGGAGTAGCCGAATTGTTTCAGATGCGTGTGGGTTCGCACCTCCGAACATGGGCACGGCATGCAAGACCCCAAAGCCGTCCAAACTCGTCTGGGAAGGGCTACATCTGCCCTCCAGCAATGCCTTGACTGTTGCAGAGGAGGCCCTACCAGCAGCGCCAAACAATGGCGGAATTTCGCAATTCACCAAATCAGCCTTGTTCTCCAGCAAGACGTGCACGTGAGACGGGTCGTGGGACAAGTATGCAGCGGTGAGACCGGCTCTGGAACTCAGGTTTGGGTCGGCTCGCAGCAGCATCAGGGTGGATAAGACCTTGGCATTCTGAGCACTTTTCGCCGCAGCCATCAGCAAGGTCTGGGTGTCATAGTACCCCAAGTCCGTCAAACCAACGACTTTTCCATTGGCATCTGCGCGTTGCTCCGCCAGCAGGCGCAGCATGTTGCAATCACCCGCAAAGACCGCGCACAGCATCCCGGTCATCCCTTCTTCTTCTTCTTTGACAGCAGCTTCAAGACTTGGGAAATCAAAGTGCTGCAAGAATCCTGGCAGGTCGAATTCTGCCTTCTCCTGGTTCAGCAACCTGGGCCTGTTCGCCAAATGGAATCTGTAGTGAGAAAGCGGGCCCCGCTGACGCAGATGCTGGATCTTGCTGTGCAAGGCCATCTCTCCAAGTTTCACGACTCCAGCCCGATCACTTTCCACTGTAAACAAACCATCTGAGATCAGATTCCTCTGCCAATCCAGGGGGAAAATGTACAAGGCTTCCACATCCGAGAATATTACAATGACACTGGTGTCTTGGCGGTTAGAGAGCAAGCGACACCAAAGCTCTGCCCGACACCACCCCCTCGACAACCATGTTTCCTTAGACAGCGGTTAACATGGCCACCAAACAGAAACTGTTTGGGATTGGCTTTTTGAATCAAAAAGCCGCAAGAAAGATCAAGAAGGTACCACTGAAACCTGTGCTTTCTCGCGTATGCTGCAAATCAGTTCTGGGAAAGAAGGACAAATCAAGCCACAATTCACTCAAGATAGATGAGCAGCATAGTTGCACTCGTGGCCAGTGTCGACGTGAACAAGTTCTGGGACAAGCGCAAAAAACCTCGGGTGGCTGGTCACGTCTGAGCCGACCAAAACAGGCCTTCTAGAAGGCTTAATCATGAGGTACATGGTGCACAACGAAGAAAGAATCATCCTGCTCAGATTGGCCTACACACCATCACTTTCTTAGCTGCGAACAGACTCTAAATACTTAGCCACGAACACAAAGGCTCTTAGCTACATATATTTTGTTCCTTAGCCGCGCCCACGCAGCTGCCAGCAATAAATCCATGGGTCTAACCCGTAGTCTTCCGATAGTCTTCTAAGGCTAAAGCCAGAGACTATCGGAAGACTACGGCTTCCAAGTTCCAAAACCTAAAAAAGAGCAAGGTTTTGGGGCCGAAAGCGAGCGTTTCGAGCATGTCTCGGCTGGACAGGGCTGAAATGCGCTTTCGGCCTCCAAACTCTGCGTTTTCTTGGTTTTCAGCATCGGAAGACTACGGGAAGACAGCGGAGACTATCGGAAGACTGAGTGCCAGCACCTTAAACAAAAAAAAACAAGGTTTTGGGGCCGGAGATGGCTGACGCGCCCCAGCCGTCCCACGTTTATGCATGGTTGAAAATGCATGCTTGCATATGGTTCACAATCTAAAACCGTCCATGGCTGGAGAATCATCCGTGCAGGGCTAAAGAACAGCTTGCGCATGGCTAAGTCGACGCTTGCACATGGCTAAAAATAGTTCTCGCCTACACACACACACGTGTTTATATATATATATATATCATATGAATATATATATATATATATATATCATATATGTACTTCTGTGTCTGCGCATGTCAAAATTTAAAATAATATCTGCAAATTATCAAGGGTCAGATTGAAAATTCAATCTTTTCACATGTGACCACATACCAGGGGGTCTACAGCTAAGAAATCTGCGCAAGGGCAACTTGTTGAACCCTGTACCCAAAACACGGGCTTAGTGCCCCATGTTGCTTCTTGATCTTACTACTGAATGCGAGCTACTGGAGTCAAGGAATACTTAAGGTCTGAGGGCCCCAGGAAACGCACGTCATCATGCATCCGAAACTGGCAAGTCACACATTTGGCGAAACCATGAGTGGCGGAAAATGGGATGAACATGCTTGGAGCTTCTTTGAAACCTTAAGTGTCTCAGAAGCCCTGCGCCTCAAAAGTTACCAAGAAGCAAATCACATGCCTCCACGTATGCCGGAATGCTTTGGACAGCAAGAGCTGCATCTGACCTTGTGGCGTCTTCATTGACGCCGTCCGTCCTTGCAGTTATCTGTGGGATCGCGAACCTGACAGTCGGCAGACAAAAGCGCAGGCGAGAAACCATTGCAAACACCAAACAACAGTTACAGTTATAGATGGCTGCCATCACAGGAGAATCATCAAAAGTCCAAACCAAGAGACTGAAATTCCCGTTAAGTGAAAACAAATTCCAAACCAATCGGAGAGACCAATCTAAAAAGAGATATCCATGTTGAATCTGCTCATAGCTGGTCGGATTTTCCTTGCTCATGATCCTTGTCATATCTTGCTCAACCTTCAGCGATCTGTCGATGAAGCGCCGCAGCACTTTGCGCAGCACCGCCAGCTGGTGCCCAGAAGGGTCTGGGAATTTGTTACCCAACCACTGGTGAGAGATGAAGACGCTGAGCATTCCTGCACAGTGAAACGCGCACGTTTGGATCTGTTGAGGTTGGTGATTTTGTGAAGAAACATGGACCGTGGAAACACACATCAACACGCCGCCAGTGTCCTGGTAGGAGTCGGGGAATGGTTGTGTCACTTTAGTTGTAGAAATCAACCCAAATCAAGCAATTCGATCCTTGCCATCTGAATGGTGCATGTCCAAAGTCCGTCAGTCCTGGCTGCCATTCATGTAGCAGCCCCTTCTCCTTCAGGACGTGATGTGCCTCAGGCGGGCCCTCCATCTGCAGAAAGTCTGATACCTATGGGCCGCGGCTCGGACATTCCAATCTTCATGTCGAAGCTGGACCAAAGGCCCCTGCTCCCACCCCGTCTTTTGCTTGCGTAACCCAGAAGGCAAAAACACTCATGCGTGCGTGTCCAATTGCCACGAAGAATCCCCCCGTCCTTCACCACATACATGGGGAACAAGTACTGGTGCACGCAAACTCCGCAGCTCACCCCATCAGCTTCCACGCCACTGCTCTCTGTGCTCGCAAGGCACGTGCTGACGTTTCCCATGGCCCCCTTTGAGGGAACTGCCGTGAACTGCGGCTGCACAACTTGTGGAATGTGAGACTGAGAAGCAGCTGCGAGTGAAGATTCACATAGGTGCGTGGTGCCCTTGTTGGTTGGTGTTTGAGGGTTTTAGGGGAACCAAGAAGGCAAGCAACTACTGTGGGCGAGTCTGTTAGATAAAAGCACGCCCACATGAGAAATTAGCAAACAAGCAACTTCAACCCTGGACATCAACCACTGGAAGGTGTACCGAACTTCCTTTTTGCTGGAGGTCTGCTCCAGGTGCTTCCCAAGCGACGTGGAGAATGTCTCGCGCCGTTTTTGGTAGCGGTGGGGAAAAGTTGGAACTCGCCCCTCTTTGACATGGTCCACGCCTCCAAAGCCACTCCAACAACCACAAACCCGAGCATCTTGTTGAGGCAAGCTGGGCGCTGACGGCATGCAAAGAAGCAAAAGGGTGCGTTTTCAACCCTAGTCACTCACTGAAATGCAACCTGGTCAAATGGCCCTCTCCATAACCATGAAGCCTCAACTCCAATTGCCTGTAATCTGGTCACAAGAAACTCACCAAAAAAAAACAAAAAACACAACCCCCAAGAGAATCACTGCCATAATAATGATTTAAGCTTGGCCCATCCCCAAGGGGGCAAACAACTAAGGATTTGACCCTTCAACCAGAAAGCCCACCGTCCGAACCCAACTGGCAATCCACAACAATGGTTGGGAGAAAGCCCAAGTTTCTGGAAAGCTGGGCCAGGAGCTTAGGCTCTGGTCGAAGGCCTCTGTGAAATGGACACCCAGTGGAATTCTTGCCGTCAAATACAGTACCCGGAACCCATGACATTCCTACTAACCCATGGAGGGTGGTTTGACAATGGGACACATGGGTCATGCAATGCATCCACACGCTTTTGACAAATTTCATTTTGGGCTGAATATCACTGTTGCGGGTATGAATTTGGATTGGTTGGACGGAACGCATGGTGAAGATTTATGTAACTATCCAGGTGGCCAGTTCGATTCAAGGCCAGCTGGGTATTTCAAAATTCAAGCTGGACACCAACTGGAAATCAAGCAGCCTCCACCTAACTCTCCAACAAAGGCACAGTAAATTGTATCTCTACCCTCCTGTCAACTAACATGGAACGTGACTGAGGGGTGCTGGCAGGCTATTCATTTTCCTTTGAAAGGGACCCTCTGGTGGATTCCATGTTTGTGGACAGGAGGGTAACTAACTAACCACTTCCAAGGGTTGCGGCCAACCCAGATCCAACAGGAACTCCCGCCGACACTGGCCTCAAGGTGCGCATGGTGCCCGCAGGAGCCGAGGCAAGTTTCCGTAAAGGCGACGCCTTTGTCGCACACCCCGCGCCAGGCGGCCATGCACTCCTTGCGGGCTGCAATTGTCTCGCAGAGGCGAGTGCCCCCGGGAGCGCCCAGAATGGATTGGTTGAGTTGCGAAACATGGCGTCGCAAAGTGAGGTCGTGAAGGTGGCACCATGCTGCACAGCATGCATGTACTGTATATGTGCACGGACATATGTATTGTTTTTTTTACAGTGCCCGTTTGAGCCCATTGTTCAGAACACCAAAGGGACACCACGCTTTCCAGGCGTGCACTCATTTCGAGACAAATCCTTTCTCGCCAGCCCTGTAGAGCCAGCAAGGGAAAATTGCAAAGCTATCATGAGCAAATGAAAGCTAAGTGAGGTACTGCCCTTTCAAGGTGGCTACTGGTCGAAACAGTAGGGCTTAGACCTTCTCCAGGACGTTGTGGGAGTGCGCCTTTCTGCACAATTCAAGCTTGCTGAAATGCTGTTCGCATAGACCTGCATATTCAACAAAGAGAGCGGGGCGATGTGAGCGTTTTACATTTTGGAAGTTTGAGTTGGCCTATGCTTCAACAATTTTTGTTTACGTGTTTAGTGAATTGTAACACAGATTCGTTGGAAGGAAATTTCCGTGTAAATTCTAATTTAATTCTAAATCCAAGACATAAATTTCCAGCACGATTCTGGCCTCGCATTTCTGTATTCAGTCCTGGTCAATGCGAATTGCTACAAAACACGGTGTTTTACGGTGCTTTCTGACTGTGGCAGTGCTGGGGCCAGTCTCCAGCGCAAAACGCAATTTTGGGACCTCTGAATTCTTGTAGGTGATTTCTACTTAATATGCTCATTCTATTGCGCCCAACTTCTAACTGACATTGAATATAATTTAATCAGGAAAGACTCCAATGCAAAGTTATGTTTTATTTTAGGTTATTCTATTTCCAATTACATGCTACACAGGGTTTTCCCGTCCAATAGAATTGTCTTTGCAAACCAGTGAGCAATAATTCTATGTGAAATACTGATACTTGCTGACTGAACATAAACAGAACTGAATAAGCACAGACTACACTCGGATTGTTTCTATAACTTGAATAATGCTGATTCTATTTCAACTTTACAGTTTCACTGGATCCTCTTCCAACAGAACAGTCTTTTCAAATCAGTGAGCAATTCTCCATACTTATTCAACCAACTTGAGACTTCTGAGTTCTCTCCTTATGAATTCTGCTTCATGTATTTATCAAGTTCTACTTCATTCCCAACTGGTATTGAGAAGGCATTACAAAGGAACGAATCCAATCAAAGGAAACCATCTCTAGCTCATTTACTAGGTCTTGGATGTGAACTACGCAAGTTCACATGAACACACATGTTCCAGGACAGCTGACATAGTATTAGTTGTCGTGTTTTGCATGTTTGTGAATTTCTCAAGGTTTTCATACTTGTCCAGAAACATGTAAAAACAACTCGGTAAAACCAAGTACAACCAAACAACAAAAACAACAATACAAAACAACAAGATCATGCCCCCCAAGGCAGGACAGCTGACATAGTCTGTTTTTCTTTTTGTGGGGGGGGGGGGGGGGCGTTCTCGAGGTTTTTTACGCTTTTTCCATGCAATGCAGAACACTCAAGGAAACCAACACAACAAAACTATGCCCCAAGGACGGCTGACATAGTCTTGTAATTTTTTGGTTGACAACACCGTCGCCCAACATGTACAAACAAGTGCACTCCCGGGCGTCCTTTTTTGTAAAGAGAAAACGGTGGGAAGTGCTTTGGGATTGTGAATGATAACGCTGGTCAAAGCCGAAGTGGATTCCCCCCGACCAAGGGAAGCAACGCTCTGTGCGTCTGGGAAGGGGCTTGGACTGGACCCAATTGGGAAACCAAGCGGGCAAGCGGTCGATCTGCTTTGCCTCGACTTTCGGCAAACCTCGACCAGGCTTGCTTCCTTTTGACCCGATCGGCACAGATTGGCAAGCTCAGGCTCGCTCAGGCTGGTAACGAGAGCCTCAAGAGAACCAAGCCAATTTTATGCCGTGTTGGGAAATTGAGGCTCCCGCGCGAATGCAAATTCAATAGGCCCACCCTCTTTTGGAGAGTTCAGCCCCCTTCCCAACAAAAAATGTCCCAGATCCAACACAGTTGAGAAAAGGAAACAACCTATTGGGTCTTTGAGGTCCGTTCCTTGGTCACGAAGTCGTGTTGCCCCCGCAGGCTCAGCACCGGCACCGTCTTCCACTTCTGCCATTCAGCCGCCACCTCCGCCCGCGTGATGCTCCAATCCTCCAAGAGGCCTCGGATCGCGGGCCTGGCTTTTGAGCCCTAGGGCCCTAAGATGAAACTTCGGCTCAGTCTATATGGCCTTCCACTGCCCGGGCGTGCTGTAGGGAGACATGAGACATGCCACTGAGAGTGAAACCTAGGCCAAACGGCAAAATACCGCAGGCGCCATCAGCACATGCAGGAAGCATACCTATCCTGGGGAAGAAGCCAAACTGCACTTAGCCGAAACGGACAGCCACTGCAAAGTTCTCAAACTTGTCACGCTTCTCCCAACACAACAAGGCAGCTCATGCGCACGTGGGTGGTCTCGTCTGAGTTCATACAGCTCACGCTACCTGGGTCACAAATCGCAAACCGGCCAGCTATTCTGGCAACCTGACGCTTGTTTCAACACCCTCCTCTTCGTTCCCTGCAAGGAGATCATGGCGACCGATTGCTCAAACCCACCGGGTCATCTACAACATCTGCCTTATCCCCATATTAAAAGCAGGCTTTGAGATGGCAAAGGTCCAAGTCTTCCTTAACTTGGCCTGCACGGAACATTTTATATTCTGAGTCTGCTGCATATCTAGCCTACCCTAAAATTCAACTTTGGGCGTGAATTCTACTAGGGGGCCCTTGCAGTCATGCAGTTGGGGATTTCTGTCCATCACTTGGTGGCCCATTGAAACTATCCAAGGATTTGGGACCCTGTCACCGCCCAAAAAGGTGGTCCTGGTCAATCGAATTTGTTGAAGGACGCCACAAGTCGCGTCTTTTTTGAGGGTACCCTTTGCGTGGCTGTTGCCAAGCGAAACCAGCTGGAAGACCAACATTTTGAGGATTGCACCATTCTGAGACATAGCAAGCGGGCCAGACGGATCCGAGCCGCAAAAAACGATTTGTCTTTTGGCTAAGCGATTTATCTTTTGGCTAATGGGATATGGCGTTTCCAAAGGCAAGAGGTCTAACAGGCCAAGGCTTTGGTCCAGTGCAAGGGCACCGGACCGATTGCAGCTCTTGAGTCAAGGTGCCGGGGCCTCGGAGCTCCCAGCGTCCAGTGAGGCCATTGTCCCGGGTCTCCATCTTCCAGTGCCACCCTGGCACTTTGCTTCGCCATCCCCGAAAATTCGGATGGTCGACTTTCCCTTTGAGTACCAGCCGTTTGGCTTCATCTTGGGGGGCTCTGAAAAAGGAGTCAACAATATGGGTTGGCTCATCTTTGGGCTCCCTTTGATGCCGTTTCAAGAAAACACCTTTTATGGTTGGTTCCTTCAGGAGGACCCTTTTGCGTGCCGCCTTCAAAAGCAACAAACAAAAGCAAGGTGGCAACCCCAATTCAGTGAGGGCATTTGAATTGCTCCTGCAAACAGGAATCGGTCCCAACAGCCTCCTTATGGTTCGCCTTTGACTACCGACCAAAGGGCCCAAACTAGAACGGGTGACTTTGGGCTACAGCTTTGGCCATGAAAATCATTCAGGTACCTTTATGACCTGGGAGCATTTAAATTTGAAGGAGTAGCATCAGAAGAAGGCCGATGGCTCCTGAAACGGGTTGGCCCTCTATGATTCAGGACGGGTCTTGGAAGCTCGGATGAGAACGCACACGGAGGCTTCCCTATTAACCAAGGAGAAAAACATGAGAACGGAAAGCAAGGGGCAAACTTTCCGTAAAGGAAAAAGGGGCAAACAAAACATCGCAGAAACATCGGGACGCTTTTGCCCCCAGTTCCGGGCATCGCCTCGTAGGGCGCCCCAGCGCGTCTCCGTGCCGCTGCGCTCGTAGGCCTCCGCCAGGACCCGGGGCTGCGGCTTCAGCGCGCAGACGTGGCCTCAGCCGCGTTTCAGCCCATTGACCCAGCAGAAAAAGGCAAAAAAAAACAAACTTGGGTATCAATTTCACCCGGTGACACCGGGTGATCCCATTTCACTGTTTTTGTGCGTGACCAGTGGAACCTTTCACATCCCAAGAAGATGGCTTAGCTACTGTAGTGGCAAAATGCCTGGGGTTTGGGGCAAACCACTTTCTAAAATATGACGTTTCAAACTTCAGATCAGGCCTTTGCCGATTCGGTTAAACTGGCCGCCCGCGGCTGGCCAAGGGCTGATTCGATTAAACTGAATGGCCGCTTGGCCAGCCACGGGTGGCGTTGCCGGCCAGTTTCACCGAATGCCCTTGGCTAGCCGCGGGCCGCGCATTTGGCCAGCCCGGGTAGTGGGGCGGGGGGGGGAGGTCCAGTCAGGAAAAGGGGGGCCAGGAATGGGAAGCCCCATTCTCCCAACTCCGCAAATGCGCGGTTGTATTTTTTGGCAGCCCCCAACCCTGGCTTACGCAAGGCCATGCCTATCTTGAGGTCCCAAAAAAAGAAGAGGGGCTGGCAACAACTTGACCGCCTGGCTTGCAGTGCATGAAGATGTGAACCTATGGAACTGGGGCTGCATTTCTTTCTTGTTGATAGCTTGGCATATTCCCAACCGCTGGCATGAACGGAACCAACAGCGCAAAACGAAGAGATCACTTTTGGAACCGTGACTTAGCATGAACCGACATCACGGACAACTTTCGGTCAAGATGGTTCTCTTTGGGCAAGTGGAACTCCACAACACACCCAAGAACAGTGGAGTATCAAAAGAGTGAAGGGCGAGTGGGTCTGCCTTTGAAAGGGACACGTCTAATATTTGTTTGGCGTATCGTGCAAAACCAAATGGTGACTGAGAGATGCTTCCTGGACTGCACTAGGAACCGGACCAGCGACCAGCCATAACGCCTTCCTGGTTAAACCTGGAAGATCAATCTTTGCCTCCGACCCCTCCAGGTGGCACGACAACGTGGAAGGGGAATGTAAGTTAAGTTATGGGTATTTGAGCTTGGGGTGTTTTTGGGGGTCCCCCACTTCCATTCCATGCTTTTCGCAAGGAACTGGGTCGAAGGGATACGGTACCTGTGTTGCAAACCGAAAGCCACGTGTGATTGCCATGGAGACACGCAACGCCCTTGCGGCACCCTACGCAAACCTAGGAGTCAGAGGGGGTGCACAGCAGCATGTGGAAGGCCAAGTAGCCCCTTGCGAGACTCGGTTCCTTCAGAAGCCAAGCTGCGGTACCAGAAGGCCCGCGCGGCATCCGCATCTCCCACCTGCCGGTTGCGGAACCGTTTCTCTTCTTAAACCATTAAACATGTTAAAAGCTGGTTCAAAAGGTGAATGCCAAATGACGGGCTGGCTGCCATGTACGGCATTGTTTACTCTTTTTTATCAGTTGTCCAGGCTCCGAACCATATAACTAGTACAGTTGGTCTCCAAATGGCCTTACGGGACCCACCAATATGGAAGTGTGCATGGATGGCGGGTTGCCTTTCGGCTTCCCTTCAAAAGACCAGTCCCCGATTTGTCGCTGCATTTATGACTTCCCCCACCTCGGTTTGGGGAACTGCACTCTCTCTCGCCCTCTCAGCCCCTTTTGTTACAGGAAGGCGATTGGGACAGGAGCTTTGTCGATTATTTGGACATCGAAACGCGCAAAGGCGTTCCATGTCACGATTGCAAGAGCCCTCCTGCAGCGGTACCTGTGTGATTTGGGTGTGTTTTTTTGAGAACCGTTTTCGGGTGGTTTACAGGGCCACTAAAGGGAATACCATTTTGGGGGATCCCGTAATCCTGTATTTCTAAACAGGCCCATTTGTTGGATTGATGCCTTTTGAAACTCAAATGGGGCCTTGTGGCAAACCCACATGCCGCATGGTCTCCAAAACGTGAGGGCAAATGAGAGGCCCCCGTTGCACCCAACACAACTGATTTGCGTGAGCACGTTTCCAGTATCCCTAGGGCTGTTTGGGTGTCAAAAACGCTGGGTGACCTTCCAAATAAGCAACACATTGAAAAACACACGCGCCAATTGACAGTTGTTGAGCAGGTCAGGTCTTTTTCTGGACGTGCAGTGACCAGGCCGAAAAAGGACATCCTCGAATGGGAACCCCACCAAAACCGCCACTAGGCCTGGGCTGAACAAACAAATGGCTCACCAACACAAACCGTGCCCCCAACTTTTGGAAAGGCACAAAGGAAAGGTCTTTGTGGTGACGGAAAATGCTCTGACAGGAATTGGCTCCATTGGCTCCATTTCGGGAGGGCCAAAACACAACCGTCGGCCGGCCGGTGCCAAAGACCGGCTGTTAACGTCCTAAACCTGAAATAGGACATGGACCATAGGACCAGTTCAGGCTTTACTCCACGACACTTGAAGGTGCTGTGGGCCGCACGCCTCCAGCACCGCCTTGCGCATCAAACTCCGCGCCGCCTCGTCCGCGCACGCAGTGGAGCTGGGCACCCCCAACCTGCCGATGGGGAGAGGGGGCGAGTGGAAAATCAGCCTTGCAAGGAAAATTGGGACCAACATGTCGAAACAATAGTTGTCTGGATATGGCGGTTAGCCACTAAACAACTGCCGGCCATCTCGTGCTTTTTCCCTTTTAACTTTTGCCACTGGTTCGCTTCCTCAATCCAGACTTTGCGTCGCAAATTATCTTACGAATGGTTGGCTTCAATCTGTTTGAAAGCTTTTGCCTGCTTGTAGATGAGGCCCAGTAAGACACCCAAATCACCAGAAATTGCAAAAGGCCAGACGCAGTCAAGGATTCATTGTCCTTTTGGAGCCCCGTCTAGTAGAGCAACATTGAAACGCCATAAGGTCAACAGGTTGGCTTTGGACACCCCATGTATTTGCCCGGCCCCCGACATCCCCAGCACATCGACAAACATCGGAAATTTTCGGGTACCGATTTCGGTGGTACCTTGCTGAAAATAAGAGGTTGTGGCACCCAAATGCCAGCGGCCAAATGTGGCCGGGGGGTGCTTCGATTTAAAAGTAGGACGTCTCGCCGTCTCGTGTCGTGCACTGAGGTCGGCGCAAGCAAATGGACCTCAAGGTGGGCAGTCCCTCCATCTCGTATCTCAGGAGTGCTTCCATGAGAACGGCACCTGCGCAACCCCGAAACGACAGCAGCGGTGCCTTACAAGTTGCCTGCAGGAGAAAAAGGCAAAGGCAACCCCGTGAGGTTTTGAAGGAATCTTCTTAGAAGGGCTCCGGCAATGAGCAAGGGGTAATTGACGTCCCTCGTGTAGTTGAAGGGGTGCAAGCGTTCCCGAAAAGTGAACCAGGCAGTTTAGCCTTGAACTGTGCATGGGAAGATTGGTTGACCTTTTGGGCCATGAACGCCATGTCGCCATGTTAGCCAAACCGACCCAACCAAAAAGGAGAAACCAAAACTACCAGAAGCCGGTGGTCAACCCGAGCAAGCCGTGGGAAGTCCCTGCTGTTTAGGTGCTGCTTTAGAATTGTGTTCGTCAAACTTAGTACTACTAAGTACGTTGTTGGTAACCTGGGATTTTCCACCCACTGATAGGCCCCCCCATTTAGAGTTCATCCTGGTGGGTCGTCTGCTAACTTGGCTGAACATTCCAAGTAATATCTAATGAATTCCCACGGCGTCCCGTGGTTTTGCTTGGGCTACACATTCGGGCGTGCCTCTTAGGCTCAGTGCGTTTTTTTCGGAGTTCGACATCGCGCCTCCATGTCCGTGGGCTATGATGTGCACCTCGTCCTGGTTCCCAAGTTTGGTCTGGCATTGCCGAAACTGTCGGAGAATTCGAGCGAAACTGGTGGTTTTCATTTGGTTTCTGGAGGGCACCTCAAAAAGACAAGCCCTGGCCAAATGGATTGACAAAAGGGCGAGCCAGTCGCAGGGCCTTGGCCATTTGGCTTCATCCCGGCCTCCACGTGCTAGGTTCCTTTTGGTCTCCCGAAACCCATTACCCCCCCATTCAAAGGACAGGCCAGTCTTTCTCGCTGCGGCCTCCTTACACTGGTGACAAACAACTGGTCTGAATTTGATCCCAACTTGTTCTGAAAAATACGCTTTGAGAGATATTCTGCAAGTATCGCAAAGCAGGGCGTCATATGCGGCCTACTCTTTGAGGGGCCATGTGCTTTTATAACATATATCAAAGAAGTCTAGTCTGAAAAGCTGCAAGGGACAAGTGCGTCATGCCTGGATGCATTGCAAATCCACAATCCTTTCATTCGTGAAGATCCGATGCATAAGCCAACTCAAAGGAGATTCCCCTCAAGAGTTACTTTCTTTGGGGTTCCATGTGCGTCCGCAGAATACCTGAGTGTCGGCTCGTCTGTGAACCCTGAGGAAAAAACTCGCTACACCTCGGAATATGGTACTTGAACAACGCAAGGCACGACAGGAACGCTTGCTCCCCACGTTCCTTGCACAAAATAAGCCTTCATGTTAGCTGGGAAGAGTGTGTTCCTTCCCAGTTCCATAAGCACCCAATCATTATGAGCCAATCACCTCCAACATGTCCAGGGCCAAACTCTCAATCAGGAACATGGGGAGAGCCCCCCCCCCCCTCAACATATCTCAAAATGGGGGTGACACCATCCCCAAACAGGGCACTGACTCCAGGAGACCCACCTCCAACATGGATGGTGTTTGGCTGGTATCTACAAGGAAACCAAAAGCAAAACCACAATTCGGGGGGACCGATTTCTATTTTGAGCCAACCCATATCCATTCTCTCGCCCTTTCAAATCTCTCTAATTGCTCCCTCTCTCTCTCGCTCTTTTCTCTACGGCCTACCCTCACTCCTCACCCAAGGAGGCCCGCAGGAACTGCAAGACTCCCTGCAGCTCTTGCACGCTGAAGCGCATGGATGTAGGTCGTTCTATGGAGGCCGTGGACAGGCCGCAGCCCAGCTCGTCGTACCTCGGTGGATGAGAACATGGTTCCATGTGGTTGCGTTTTACCTAGGGTCTGATATGGTGGTGACATACTCATGAAACTGATGCCAGGTTTGGCCCCTCAAGAGTAGAAGGGGGTGGGCCTAGCCGTTTGGAGCGAGAAAACACCCAGGCAAAAACATGAGGACTTATACTCACAGAAATGGGTCTCCTAAAACAGGGATTTTTGGCCCCCAACATGCAAAACACTGCACCTACGCGACCCCGGGCGTCAGAACCTGCCGCTGACCCAATGCAGGGCTGAGCCTGCTGAAGCTATTTTTAGCTTTGGGGGCTGATTTAAGCCGAGCCGCATGTAGCAGGTACCTCGGCAGTGGGCTGCGAATCTTAATTTGTCCGGGAAGGCCCCCGAGGTTCAAAGGAAGCTGGATGGACATCAGTTCCCTTTGTTCTGCCGGCATGGCCACATGTTGCAAAATTATGTTTGCAATGCAAATTCACCAGGTGCAAGAATTGCGCAAGAGGACCTGGCAGTAGTGCAGGTCCTGACTGCACGAGAGTGATATTACGGTTGTCCGATAGCAGAAGGTCGCTCGAGGGTTGTTTTGGATTGCCTGTTCTTTGGGTGCTTGTACATGTCAACGCATCCGCAGCTGTTTTAAAAATGGAATGCGGGTGGGAGGTGGGCCCTGCGGATGTTGGGTTGGTTTGCCGGTTGAGGGGTTTCATTTGGATGGAGGGTGTGCCCAAGCAAGGGTGTGCGTCCAGGGGTTGAGGGTTGGGCAGAAAGCTACCTGAGGTGTTTCTGCCTTGCAAGTCTTAGTTCACCTCACCAATTTTGTGGGCGTCAAATGGTCCAAGTCAAGCAAAGAAACGGGTGAGTTGTGAAGGTGCTTGGGGTGAAGAAGAATACGGGAACACTGCCATTCTTTCCTTCGGGGGGGGGAACAGCTCAGCGGAAGCCCTCGGTTCATTTGAGCTTTTTCAATCTTTTCGCATGGTAGGGTAGTTGAAGGGCACGGAAACTTTGCCCGCAATCTTTGCGACCAGCACTGCATTTACAAGATGCATCTTCCCAAGACCCTGTCAGCCAAGGTAGGTGTGAATTTCGGAAAACCTGATCCGCCGACACCTATGTGAAACTCGCCGGCAGGAAGGATAAATCTGGCCGACTCAGGAAATTGAATCTTCTTTGCAGTCCGCGCTGAATGGTTGCAGAGCAGAAAAGATGAAACATGATGAAACAACTGAGCAAATATGCCCAGAACATCCAAGAACCCAAGGAAAGGCTCCACAGCAAGCCCTCAAAACACCAAGGCCACAACCCAAGTTGGGCCTTTCCAAGTGCAGTTGCAACCCAAGAAGTCAAACTGCAGCCAAGCCACGGCCCGCAGGGCTGCAGAGCCTTTCTGCTAAGGGTTCCAGGTACCTGCGGATGGATTTCGACTGCTGTTGGAAAGGGACCCCAGGGTGAGAAACAACATGCGAGTGGAGTCCATCTATAGTCATAGCTAAAAGGATCTGAAAGGAAACTTGGCCAACATAATTCGAGTCACGCGTCTTCAAACATAGCCCTGAGGTTGCAAGCTGGATGAAACTCACCCAGAGCTTTTAAAGTTGACATTTTCAGACAACCTGGCACTAGTAGCCCAAGACAACCAGAAACAGATTGAAACTTAAAACCGTTGGTTCAATGGGCCCAGAAGGGATACGGGGTGGCCTTTCCTTCCAACGCCATCGGGGGTCTCTTGAAGCATCTTCCCCCACGGGAACCTTGAGGGGGCCTCGGGGTCATCTGCCATCGCTGGACTATCGCTGGACTCCCTGCTGGAGGCACATGCATTTTGGCTGGCCTTGGCAGCCATCTTTCCAGAGGGTCCAACAGGTGGTGTCTTCTTCGGTTTGCAAGGATGCAAATCAGGGGGACCTTGAGTCATCCGGATCCGGGTCAAGCTGAAAGGGACTTCAAGCCCTGAGCGTGGGGCGACGGCCCCCAAAAATCATCCAAACCATCAGCCCACCAAAGGTCAACTCAGTTCTGATTGCAGGTCTGGTGGTGTTTGTGTTGGTGGGGGTGTTGCTGAATCTGATGGTTTCCTGCACCTCCACATTCATTTCACTCACATAATTGGACAACACAAATTGGCATTTGAACTGGCAATGGGAAAGCAATGGTTTTCTGGAGGTCCCAACTCGGAAATCCAGGCGGAAATCCATGCTGCCCAAAGAAGTGACGTCAACTCAGCTGGCTTTGTAGGATTCAACCCCCTCCCTCCCGCCGGTTTCCCCTTTCCAGGAGGCCTCCGAAAAAATCGGGGTGAGCATGGGTTTTGGATCAAAGTGTGAGCCATCTCACAGGTGCCGCATTGTGGGAAGTATGGCTTCCACATGCAAACCGGCTGCATAAACATCCACATGGCGGGCCTATACATGCATGCATAGTATAAACAGATATATGTATATATACATATACAGATAGATAGATAGATAGATAGATAGATAGACAGACCAACGTTAACAAATAGAAGCACACACATATCGGTAGTGCAGCCATAACTCATGGGTACCCATGTGCATGCCACCCCCAACTCAAGCGACAACTCAGGCACGGAGATCCCGTAGGCCTGGAGGGCAGGCCCGGCCCGTCGTGCAAGATCAGCACCGGCGGCGGGGCGCGGAGGCTTCGCTGCACGGAGCGCATGAGGCCCTCCTTGTCCTCGGGTGGCCAGACTCACGGCCGGACTAAGTCGGGCAATTAAAGTGAGATGAGATAAGTCTGGCAAGGGCGTTTTGTGTTGGGAATGAACCGCAAGCGAATTCTATGGGAAACTAAAATTACAAGGGGAAGGTTCATGGTGATTCCCTCATTTCCTGGGAGCCAGCAAGGTCATCCCCAAACAACAACACAGAGCTTGGAAGGATCAACATCCAAACGTGCTCTAGATCAAAATTATAATTAGGGAAGCCGAAGCCCCCAGAAAGCCCCGGATGCAAACTTCTGATGGTCCGGGTTCAACCTTTGTTGGGTCTGATTTGGCTCTCCTGATCCAACAAACCAGCCGGACGAGCTTGGCTTGACCGGCTTCCAGCGCTCAACCAATCCTCCCCTTAGCCCTCATTTTGGAAGTGTGTCCTTTTGCCCGTGGGCCGGGAACCCCCTTGGAGGCTTCGGCAAGACCATCGCAGGAGTAAACGGAAGCGACACTTGACACCAGAGCGCCAGTGGGCGGACTATCAGGGCTCTCTTTTAAAGGTTGCATACTTAGTAACTTGTATTTGTGTTGGGGATGGTACTCCCAAGAGCTTGAAAGGCTCAAGGCCACGCCAAGAAGCAACCCTTTTGATAGATCTGCGCCACATACTCCAATTCCAACAAATGTTCAAGCGATGATCATGGACGAGCTCTTTTTACCGAATCGGAGATTTCTTTTTTCAATCGGTATCCATCCCCCTGAATCAGTTTCCTGGGGAACTCCGATGGCCATGAAGTTTCAATCGTTGGACCTTGGTTGGTGGTTGCATTCTAGCTATTCAGCAGCTTCAAGAAGGGCTTGCCGGGGCTGAGGTCACACAATTCGACACCAACTTGGGATTTTAGGCGGGCACAGAACAAACCAAAGTGATGGTTGCTCCATGGTGTGCTAAATAGGCCTGGAAAAGTGAAGACACAATCCCCCCGCTTGCGGTTGGGAACAACAGTTGTTCTCGTACTGAAACATTACCCCTCTAACCGGACTCGTTGTAGAATAGCCCAACAAACTACATGCTCACATTCCTTACCCGCCCGAGGCTCCCCCCAAACAGGACATGTAAGCACCAACAAAGCTACACATACGAACCACACCGGGAAAACGGGACATATCCCCTGAGCACCCAACTCCCCCACTCCCTCAGCTTGAGGTGCCATGAACCGCTTCAGCTTCACGACCGCTTGGCCCAGGGGCCTTAGAGTCCAGCCTTTCAGTTGGCTAAGGACACCAAGCAGTTTTACCGTTCTTCACATTGGGTTGCTGGCCTTGGTTGCTAGACCCGGTGCAACCCAAACAACGAAACCGGGGTCGAAGTGTGGCCTGTTGGGCACCTACTTACATCACAAAAGCTGGATGGCCCCTGCGAATAAAAGTTGGCATTGCTGGTTTCCAAGAAGAAGCAATATGGACCGCATGTTCAACCCAGTGCTTCCTAGATAACGGTTGGTTTCCCTCTTGGCCCTCCTTTAAACACAATCCGGGGGGGGGGGATTTTGAGACCCTGGCACCCGCCTTCAATCATGCATGCTGGAAGTTAATGTTTTTGCCTTGAGCACCGGACATGTTCAAAATACGGCCTCATCAGGCTGCGATTGGATGCTTGCCAGCGTCCAGATTGTCTCTTGTTTGAACCCTGCTGAATGCTGACAAGTAGGCGGGAATCGTCAAGGAATTTGGAGGCCCCAGTTCCAGAAGAACCATTAGCACTGCAAAAGTGGGGCGTGGTGCGGTGGCAAGTAAACAGAGATGTTAGCTGACCCACCAACCCCTGCCAACGTTTAGTCAAGCTTATCGGTGCCTTGAACAACAGGGGGGGCTGGTTGATCTGGCCATGGCACACGTCCATGGTGTCGTACATGATGTCCATGGGCTCCTGGCACCCGACTTTCTCTCCCCTGAGTTCCACGAAAGAAATCAATTTGGTGGCTTCAAAGGAGAAACCAAACAAAACACCGCCCACCTGAACAAGCCCATTTTGCACCAAAGTCTAAGCTCCACTTGCAGGTTTGAAGGAAATTCATCTTTCGGTTGGTTCCTACTTGCCGCGGAGTGGTTTGCACAAAAACAAAAACAATGTAACCAAGAGCCATGGAAACAACTTGTTGTGCCTCTCTTGGACGATCTTCCCAACAGGTCTGAAGCGAGGACACTATGGGAAGTGAGTTTCCAGGGTGGTTGAATGTGTGTTCGCGTATCTACGCTTTTTTGCACACAAGACCAATTAGCCTGGGGAGGATGGAGCAAATAACAAGATCTGGACAACCCGCAAATCACATTGGGATTTTGCTATGGGCCAAAACGGACGCGTGTGACATCCATCAGTGGCCCAAAGGAAATAACAGGTTAACCTTTTGGGGTCATGACTAAGATCAGGCTCGTTCCTATGAAAGGGCCGCGCCTGCATTGCCTTCACCTTGAGACTCCGGTCCCGACTTCGCACGCTTCGCCCGCCGGCAAAAGCCGCGAGAGTGCCTGGGCGGATATCTGAAGAGTCAGAGAGCCTTTCCGGTGGGGGCGAACTAAGGACTTCTCAAAATGGCGCCTTTTTCGCGTGGTTTGGCAGGGAAGCCAAGAGGAAACCAATTTGAGGACACAGGAAACCACTGTTTTGAGAGACGCCCACATGCTAAAACCACCATGCTCTAGCTATCATTCTCGGGGAGCCAGAAGGATGACGATGGACCACCACAACAAATGTTTAAACACCTTGGGGGACACGAGATCCGCCTATCCCTCTGCCCGGACTCCCCCAGTGAAAAACAAACTTGCGGAGGGTGGCCTGTATTCCTTCAGACTTTTGGAGGAAAGGATCCCCCTGAAAGTTGTCATGAAATTCTTGGACGTTCACAAACTAAGATGTTACTTTCAAGTGACACGTGTCATTTTCAGAAAATCTAGACCTCACCCCGTAAGGAAAACACAAGGGAGAACACCTGCAAGCAAACGGAATAACAAGGGTCAAGAGAGAACAAAACGGAACAAGAAACCAATGACACTGCCTTAGTCATGTTCTGCTGGCTTGCCTGCCGCTACCGCACCTATTGCATGTTTAAAGTTTAGACTTGGCCCGCACTTAGTGAACTTCAAGCATGCAAAAAGATGGCACAATCGGGCCTGGGCAAGCTTCACCCAGTTGGGCCAACGCCTCGTTTAGACACATGGTCTAAACGCAATGCATGTTGTATGATTCAACATTCCATTTGTTGCCACTTTGCCCACCTCAGTGGGTCGGCCAAACAACTTCTGAACTTTTCATTACCACCAGACTAAGTTTGGCCTTCCCCAAACATCAAGTGTCTCGGTTCAACAACTTCGGCCCGACATACCATGGACACTTAGAGCCAACTTTGCAGCCAGACCCAAAGTGCCCACCCATACCTCCCACGTACCGCTGAGCTTCCACATACTGCCGCCGGCGTCGAGATCGCCTTGGCCGCTCGCGCGGGGATTGGCGGCGAGATCGGCGCCGGGATTGGCGCCGAGATTGCCGGCGGCGCAAAGGAAGCCGGAGTCAAGGCCATGGTAGCCGCAAATGCTGCGGGTGCAAATTGGAGCCCAAGCCCCAAGCACACTCCCATTTCCAAGAGCCCCCAACACTGAAGGAAAGTACCTTGAACCGGGGTTCTCCCAGGCCCTTGACAAGTCATCGAATACATGAGCGGCTTCCCTTTGCCCTGTCTGGCTCGAAAAATGATGACTCAAAACAAAAAAAGAGGAGCCCTGACTAACACAGGGGAACTGGGGCTTGTACCATGGCGCTCTTTGTCATTCCGCAAAGCCGGTTCAAACAAAACACCTCCTGCTTTTGACTGTCCACATTCATGCTAGGTTTCTTAAATGCGGGCGCACAAATAATATGCGGGCCTTTTTTGGTCCGTGGCTGGTGGGATTTGTGCAAAGCTGGCTGTATCAAGTGTGCTGGCTTCACTTTAAAGCCAGCAGCGCTCTCACGAGGTGACGCACGGCTCGCGGGGGCATGTGGGCGAAGTTAGACAAGCTTCCTGTTTCAAGAGATGTGGGAAGCGCAGCGAAGTCAGCGCTTGAAATGCACTCCCACGGGGCCGCTAGGCATGCTTTTGCTTTGGCTCGGGGCTGCCAGGCTTGCATGTCAGAAGAGCTGCGGAAGGGTGTCACGTCAAATGGGGACACCGCCTGGATGTGAAGCTCATCTGATTGTGGCTTCAAACGGTACCTCGATGTTCCCCAGCGCCCATTGGACAAGGACAAGCACGACGGCCAAGTCCGTTACTTCAGCTGCGGGGCCGGCTTTCCGGAATGCAACCTGCAGTTTTCCCGAAGCGGGAGCCAAAATCAACGGAGTCCGGCACCTCACGTCTCGGACGCAGTCGAAATGGCCGAAACCCTGTGGCGCAGACGTTGAAAATAGGACCTCACATGCACATCAATGTCTTGTTGGCCTTTTGCTTAGCATTCTTGCCGACGGCTTTTCAAAGGTGCTTGTGGCGGAATGATGGGCCCTCAAGGCCGCGCCTTGTACCTTTCAGCCCTCAAGCCCCTTTCCGATTCTCTGCCAAGCGTTCGTGACTCGCAGTGAGCTTTGCCTGGTGTCAACGGCTGCGGTCGCGGGAGTGACTGACTTTGGCCTTGGGTTGAATTTCAAGCCATGGAACGCCATCCCAACTTTTTGGCGCAGCCTTTACGAATTCCTTGGGCACCAGCGGCTCGTGGGCAACTTGTTGGCTTGCAAGCTGAAGTCTTAGAGGCCATAGGTGGGTTTGAAGTGGAATGGGGAGGCAGCAGGGCCACGTCCATCACGTCTCTGGAAATTTCAATGGCTCCCATGGGCGCGCTGGCAACATCAGGATGAGAAACCGCAAACTTTGGCCAACTGGCTGAATTTTGTGTGATCCGAATCCATCCCTCTTGTTTTGGAAACCAAGGCAAAGGATAGAGAGTACTTTGTGGCAAGCCCAAAGGGTCTTACGGATGGCCACCTCAAACGGTCCAGTTTGACCTTTCTCCTGATGCTGCACCACCTGGTCTTGTGAAGCCTCGCAAGTGAAGGGCGCGCCGAGGCTTTTGCGCTAAAGGCATTAAACTGGCCCTTCAGCCGGCTGCTGCAAATTGCGCAGGCGATTTCATGTGGCAGAAGCGGAGGGATCAACTTCCAGTGGCAAACTTCAGCAGCAATTTCCAGGGACAAACTTCAAGTGAAAAGCTTCAAGGGACAAACTTCAACAGCTGGGCTTCGCAGGCCGGGGGAGGGGGGGGGGCGGGGGGGGCACGACCTCAAGGCAAGGCCGACTGAGGTAAGCTGGCTTGTGCCGAGCGCTTGCTGCGATTGTCACATCCATCAAGCAGGCTTCCCTCCCTGGGGATGCCTCGGCTATGGCACGTATCTTGGGCCATGGGCCATGCTTCGGCTTTTCGTGGTCCATGAATTCAGAACCCCCCTCCCCATTTCATGGACGGACAGCAGCGCATGCTAGTTTGCCACGGCCAGAGTTCAACCACAACCCGACGGGGAGGTCTTGCGAAAGCCCCACCTTCGATTCCAGTTCTTCCCTCTCTGTCGCAGGTCCGTCTGCCGCCTGAGAAAGCCCCGGGCATTGCGCGGTTTCAGACCCTGTACCCGGCCGGGTGGCGAGAATGCGCCAGACCTCGTCACCCACCTTGCGCAGCAAAAGCCAGGCGCTTTTGGAAGCTCCCGGGCGACAAGTGAGTGCCCGGAACACATGGAATGAGCCAGGGTACTGTGCCAAAAGATGTTCTGAAGCAACGCCCTGCGCGCCAAGCTCCGGCAAAAAGTTAATGCCTGAACTGTATGGGCTGGAACCAGCCTCAACTGCCTATTGGCTGAAGCTTTTGGCTTCCCCAGTCTTCGGCTTTCAGAGCTGTCGATGATATGGGAGCCTGCTCAAGCGTGCATGCCCACGTGATCTGAACATGTTCTTCACAGCTTGGGCTTTCTTCTGCTGCTGAAGCGTCATTTCTCGCACTCTGCTGGAACAGGATGCCGCACCTAGGATTTTCATGAAGCGTTGCCGCACGAGCTTCCCGCTCTTAGGCCCACTGCAGTTAGTTGCGTTGTGTAGTTGCGTTTTCTTTGCGTGGGCGCAGGCAAAACGGCTGCTGCCCTGGGCCCGAAAGCCCAGTGCAGGCAGGAATTGCACTGCTTCAGCCTGATTCCTGTATCCAATGGCGCCCCTAAAATGGGAACCTCCCGGCACGACTGGGATCTTCTGAATTGCCTGAGCTTCACCCCGATCGCGCTTCGCTAGCTACAGCTTGCGCGCGCCGAACCAATGACTTGGGTGCTCGGCAAAAACTATGAGGCTTCGCATTCGACAAGTGCCATGGTTGTATCTGGCTTCAAGTGCCTTGCAGGACTCAATAGGGCAACCTTAGGAAATACGGGGGCTGGAAATGCTTTAAACTCTTGGGTTTTGGCCGCTCCTTGGAACCTGTGCTGTTCTGCTGTTTCCAAGCATCAGGCAACATATCCCCCAGTTCCATCAGAAAAGCTGGGGGGACGTGGGATTCGTCCACCAGGCGCTTGTACACGATGAAGCCGGCTGCCCCAAAAGGCTGCCAGTTCACGGAACTTCAGAGACCCTTGCCATGGATGGCACAACACAATCACTTGGGTGTTGCTGGTTCAGGCCCCTCTGCAACAAGCGGATCACCTTTGACGTGATTGAAAACGAACAGTTCACCTGCACATTCCCAGGTTGCCCAAAAGAACGGCCAAGATAAACTGCTGGTGGAGTGGGTTCTCCAAAGTTTCGAATCATTGCACAAGACTGTGTCTCAGACCGTGTCTCAGGTCACTCATCTTTACGTCTCCGTCAAGCGTCCCATTTTGGCAGGCGCGCAACCGCGTTGCGATGTTGAACTCCTATTGCCTGTCACCTGGTCAGACCGACCTGGCTCCTCTTCTCACATGGCGCTGTGCCAGGGCTGCGCTCTCAAGTTAAGTGCCTCAGGTCTTTGGGTCTTAAGATTTCATGGCTCCAATGCTTCCCATGCTTCTCGACTTCTCTTTAAAAAGCAAGGCTGGATCCCAAACCTGCGAAGCGCAGTCGCAAAATAACTGGGAGCTCGGCGAACGGCGTCACTTGAACTCCGATTGCGGGCCCTGCCACAAATGGACTTACTACGACAGTCGGCTTTGTGAGAGAAGGCGCGCAGGGGTCCAAGCCCCACATTTTGGGAGCTGAAAGCTTTCTCCGCTCAAGTGTGGTTTGAGCCCGTTACATGGCCGGAAGGCCGTCCAGCCATGTGGCCGCTTCTAGTATTGCAGGGAGGGTGTCTGGGCAGATTTGGTCAAACCGGCAACTCAAAGCACACGGCCACGCCTGAGCAGATCAGCATCAAGGCAAAAATCCTCAAGGAGAAGATTGCACGCAGCTTAGGTGCAAATTCGAGGTGCGAAGGCTCACT